TATGAGTCTTAATCAGATTTGAAAATGTAATATTTGATGACTTGATTTTACATTAAAAAGAAAAACATTTCCTTAAACACAAACCTCCTCTTTTTTCATTTTGTTTTTATAATTAGAGTGGAAAGCTTCTTTCCAAATAACTCCTTTAAGGCCATGCAAGGTGCTCACTTTGATTATATAGTATATAAAACACCTTTCAGGGCAAAAGACCTAGCATGGTTAATTGTTTGACAGTTATTATCTAAACTTCAAATAACAAAAACCTTTATTTGATTTGATAGAATGTCATAAGTGTCACTAAAAAATGTTAGAAATGTAAGATATTTTTCTAAAATTTGTAAGATTTAAGGAAGGTTGTAAGGTTTCAGGAAAATATTTTGTATAAGCAATAAGAAGTATCTGTTTATTGTCATTGACATGAAAATAATGGAAATAAAAGCAGTGAACCAGAGTTTATTTCAAAGGGCAGTTTCTGTGAAGATGAGCATTTTTATTATCTGTGCATAGTCATGTTGAATAGGCATAGTTGTTTTTCGTGACAGCCTTTCTAGCACTAAATTATGTGGTCATTCCTGGGAGCAAGTGTGATGGAAAGTGAGGCTTACCAATCACAACTTCTAGTAAATTAAAAGTTACCTGTTGATACCACCAGGTAGGGTCTCACTCCCATTACTATGCTTTTTTTTCTTTTCTATTATTTATAAGTGGTCTCCCAAAAAATGTAATGATTTCCTCTCCTTACTTTGAATGAAATGAGCCCTAAATGGTCAACTCCATTCTCCCTCGCCCAATTATACTGGCAACTATGGCTATATAAGTACTCTGGCCAAGCTCTCAGTTCCTGAATATTGAGATCAAAGATATATATATGGGAAAGTAGTAGAGCTTAGAGGTTTGCTAGAGAACAGTATAGCATTTTCTATAGATAGCTTTACAGAAACACAGCCAACATTCAGCATTTTAACAGCAGCTGAGGCTGGCCACAGTGGCTCATGCTCGTAATCCTAGCACTTTGGGAGGCTGAGGTGGGCGGATTGTCTGAGCTCAGAAGATTGAGACCAGCCTGGACAACATGGTGAAACCTCATCTCTACTAAAATATAAAAAATTAGCTTGGCATGGTGGTGCGTGTCTGTAGTCCCAGCTACTCAGGAGGTTGAGGCATGAGAATTGCTTGAACCCAGGAGGCGGAGGTTGCAGTGAGCCGAGATCGCACCACTGTACTCCAGCCTGGACAACAGAGTGAGACTCGGTCTCAGAAAAAACAAGCAGCTGAGTTCTTTTTTTTTTTCTTTAGAGAAAAAAGGAAACATATACATACAAACTATATATACACATATATAAGTTCAAAAAGTGACCTGAAGAAGTCATTTCTTAAAATTTTTGACATTTCAAGATGTTTACCTTCTCTGTTGGGATGTCTATATTTTAATAACTGTCCTTCAGTTTTAAAGCGAAGGATGGCCAGGCTCAGTAGCTCACCCCTGTAATGCCAGCACTTTGAGGGGCTGAAGTGGGAGGACCACTGGAGGCCAGGAGTTTGAGACCAGCCTGGGCAGTATAGTAAGACCCTGTCTCTACTAAAATTAAAAATTAGCCTGACATGATGACACACACCTGTAGTAGCCACCCAGGAGGCTGAGGTGGAAGGATTGCTTGAGCCCAGGAGGTTGAGACTGCAGTGAGCTATGATCGGTTGTGCTACTGCACTCCAGCCTGGATGACAGAGCAAGACCCTGTCTCTAAAAATAATAAAAATAAAATGAAAGGTGATGAATGCAAAGCAAGATGATTATGTAAGGTCAGATCCAGACCAAGGCAGTGTCTTGCATATATATGGATACTCAAGCGCTGGCTACCTTCTGGGTGTCATCTCGATGAATTTCTCCTCAGTTTGGTTGAGCACCAGCTTTGAGCACAGCACATGTTGTTAAACTAAAAAGTGTCAGACAAGATCCTTGCTCTTTTGAGTTTCTGGTTTAGTTCTCCCCAAGTAAATGTGGTAAAGGACCAGTTTGTTATTTTCTTGTTTTGTTTTAATTTCCAGTTTATCTTGAGCCAATGCTTTTACAAATACAATAAAAATGAATTACAGGAAAATGAAATCTAAAAGATATATAAAATAAGCCCAAATTTTTAAATGATTGAATTTAACAGTTATAAACATAGTTTGTCCAACTGCTGTAAAAATTTCTAAGCTCTTATTCTTACAGATTACAAATGCTTATTTCTTCATGGACCGGTAATAGTGTTTATGGATCAGCATTGATCCATGGACCACACTTTGAGTCACAACTTGTCTTTTTGCAGGGGGACAGTACCACTCCCTTACACTTAGGCTAAGCTTGTGCTGAATACATACCACACTGCTGCCCACACACAGCCACTCTTTCTCCTCCCTCAGCCTAGAATATCTCTTCTCCGCCATCTCCTGCTGTATTGAAATGCCCCCCGAGTCCTTTAAGATGTATTTTAAATGCCACCTTTTTCATCAAATCTTCATGCTCTCCCACCAGTACCACTAACAGCAACTGGGTTTGAGCTTTCCCTCCTATTTTCTGAGTAGTCTGCCTCTTACAATCATAAGGCAGAATAGTGACGTGGTAAAGGGGTTTGGGCTCTGCAAGCAAAGAAACCAAGATTCAAGCCCCAGATTAAGTGGGTGACGTTGAACAAATTCTTAACTGTTTCCTCCTCTTTAAACTGGGGATGATCATGACGCCTATTCCTAAGGGCTATTTAAGTTTTCAGTGAGGCAATCCGTGAGAAGCATCTTATATAGTCACTGGGGCATACGTGGTGAGCACTCCACTAATGTAACTGCTGTTGGTATGTCTTCCTGACTTGTCGTCTCTCCCACCTTCTTCCTTCCTTTTAGCTCACCTGATTGAGCACAGGGTTACTATCCCCTGTGGAAACTGGCACAGTACCTTGCTCAATCAATAGAAGTTTAAGTGCTTGTGCCAATTAAGTGATACAAATAAGCAGTGAAATAGAATCAGAAAAAGAGATGACTCATAGTTGGAGAGGTGAGGGAAGTTCGATGGAGACGGTGGGGTTTAAGCTGAACCCTGGTGTAGGGGTCAGCATTTGGACCCTGATTGATAGCAGGCCCTGACACATGCCCACGGGCAAGGAACACGTCCTGGTTGGCTGGAGTGGATACTGCACCAGAGCATTGGGAAGCAGAGCAGGAAAGGCAGCCTTGGGTCAGGCTGTAAAAGGCCTTCAAGGCTTCATGGGGTGTGGGGCTTTATCCTTTGAGCATGTAAGAGCCCTGGAGTCTGGGTTGCTACAAGGGGTAAATTTGAGATTGGGGAAACTGGAGTCCAGTGACCCAAAGAGGACACTGGAAAACTCATGAAATCCTGTTACCTAAACCAGCATTTCCTAAACTATTCCTCTGAATATGAATGATCCTCCTGGTGTTGCTTAATGTTTCCTGGTTGGTGGGGTGGAAGTGTATGGTTTCTCCCACTAAGAAAATGAGTGGGAGAATTACGATATCTCAGGCTTCCCCCATGGAGATGACCATGTATCCTGACTTGACAGTCTCTACTTTAAAAGTCTGTTTAGAACTTTGTTAAATTAGTGTTTCCCAAATTTAATTGAACACAGCCCTTTTTTTCATGAAATGTATGTAAATAGCTCACAAAACAGTTTAAGAAACAGTGCCCTACACAATTCTAAACCAAGAGTATTGTAATGAAAGAACAAGTAAAGTTTAGCTCTTTCTCAGTGCTTAGCTGATCCTAGGACACTGTCATCAGGCAGTTGCCAGATAAGAACCACGTTGTTTCACACTGGGTGGTGTCGAATCTTCTGAGCATGCATCTTGCAGGACGTCAGCAGTTGCTTACGTTCAGAATGCCAGGTTTCTGTTCCACCATGTCCGTCTCTTCTGTTCATTGTGAGCATCTCCACAAACATCCTCTATTGCCAATGCCTGCACCCAGCACGTGGTGACTCCCAACCTTCGTGGAAGTGCAACCCTGTATTTATTCTCCTCTATCCTCAAAAGATGTGTTATGCAGGATGTTATATATGTAAAAGACAGTGAATTGAAATAAGGTGTTTTTTTTTAAAAACAACAGCCCTTGAAAAATTTCGGAGCATCCTTAACAAACAAAACCAGGGTTGGGATTCATCAATTTACGTGGTCATACCATCTTTCTCCCTCATTTTTGCTCAGTTAAAATTGTTAGTAGTGTGGAATAAAATTATCTTGCTGGGCTATTTATGCCTGAATCAACATAAATCTTGCATACTTTCAGAAAGTAATTCAGTTTCAAATCTTGATAGTACTACTTACTCACTTGTTTAATAAATTGTAATCTGTGTGATGTCAGCTAACTGTTAAAAAGCAGGATGAGCTGATGATGGGATGATTGCCACTTCAAAGTTTTTAGCAATTTATGATAAATGATGCTTTTTTCAAAGATAAGTATGGAGTGGCTATCTGTAGAGTGCTTAGAACCTGGCACATAGTAAAGCATACGTAAAGTGTTTGCTGCCATTGTTGTTGTTATTGAAGATTGGGGTGAGGCCCTGCCTGGTTGTTATTTCCCAGTCTTCAAGATAGTTCATACTCCACTTTTCTCAATTGTTAGACATTTTTCATTGAAATTGCAGGAGCATTTTACCTAAAGAAAAACTCCATGCAGAATTGGAATTCATTACATTCCTGAGTGGTTGATGGAAATCATTTTGACCATAATAAATGATTAAAATAAAACATTAAAAGTAGATTTAAATAATATCCAGCTTCTTAATTTATGTAATTATTTTACTAGACCTCTAATTTAGGATACAAGGCTTTAAAATAATTTTGGATGGTTATACTCTAGTAAATTAAAGCCTTTCATATGTTTCCCATATTATAGAAAAACATGTAAGTTTATATATATTACCTTTGATTTGAAAGTGCTTGTTGTAATTTTCTAATGCTTTTTAGAAGTCCAGATCTTTAAATAACTAATGTTTTCTGCTTCGCCTCTGCAGCTTACTGAAACAAATGCAGGTATCAAGTGCTTGGACTCCATGTGCTGTTTCCCGGAAGGAGAAGCAGCGTGCGCATCTGTTGGAAGAATGCTGGAACGAGTTATAGGAAGATGTAGTCCGACCCACATCAGCAGGTGTGAAATATCTCTAAGTAGCCTTTGCTGCAAATGAGTATCCTATCTGGAACAGGATGAACCTGCAGCTCTAGATACCTAATAAATCAGCAGCTGGTTTTACCAACTGAAGCAGGAAGTCTGCTATTTATTAGCATTCCTTGGTGGTAGATTTCACTTTGTGGCTTTGGGGTAAGGGGCTTTTTCACTCACAAAGGAAGAGAAAGCACCTTTGAAGAGACTTCATCTAATGAACAAAACATTTTGTCTCATAGTCTTTCTAAAATGTGCTGAGTAGGAGTGTGTATATGGTACTCTTTCATGGTTTGTATAACTTTCTTTTTTAAATTATACATATACTATTTCCTTTTCATTATTTTTTAAATTTTTTTTGCTTTTTGTCTTTACAAAATAATCTCAACATAACAGTGAAGTCAAAGGCTTTCCTTTTCTTACTCTGTATGTATATTTTCCAGTTGCTTATTTGAGGCTTTGAGGTATTTATAAACACAAAAGGCTGTATTTCTGCTCCCCTACATCTTCTTATGTCTGTAATGAAGTTTTGAAATGAGTCATGATTTTTAAGTTTCTTTTGCTTGGTATTTATTGTCTAATTAAAAGTGTATGAGTTAGAACAGGCTCTTTAAATTATGGAGTAAAAGAATCTTAGCATTTTTGTCCCCTTCTAAATCTATTTCTTGATTGAGGTTTATCACCATACCTGCTGTTGTGCACCATAACAACAACAACAACAAAAACCACCTTTTGGTAAATACCATTTAAAATTCATTGAAACGTGCAATGAATTTATTTATTCATACATGTCCCCAAGAGTTATATCACTATTTAGAGGATGTTAGGGGGTAGAAAGCGCTTTTTCCACCCTTGGTGTTCTTTAGGTGAATGATACCATATTCTCAAAATCAGTGCAGCAGTACACGGTATGCATGGAGGGTACAAATGGGCAGGGAGAGATGTTGGTTCCCATTGTCCCAAATGTGCTACATGAATATTAGCACTTTCTACATGTGCCAGGGCTTGGAAAAGGTTGGAAATTACCCCAGGAACAGGTTATAAAGAGTGAAGAAGGCACTACTCCTATCTACTGGAAAAAGGATTTTTATTATTTGGTTAGCTTTATGTTTTAAAAAAAAAGAGTATGATATCATTCATCTATTATAAAATTCAGGTAACTTTTACTGGTGAACTTATTAGTTCCTCACTTTAGCTTTAGCTTAGCCATGCCTTTATGTTACAATTGAATTTATAAATAGCATTCTTATGTTAACATATGTCTGTGGTTTCAATCCCCATTTATTCTGACTTGATTATAACATGTGATCTGAAATATTTCCATAATGCTGTGATATCATTTTGTAGTAATTTCATTTCATGTAGAAGAATGAGCACTTAAACTCTGGGACTTTGTTATGATTCACATAATTGTATTATAAAATGTGGCTCTGTCATGTACCTAGGCCAGCAAGTTTCCCAAAGGAAGTTCCCAAAGGAAGTTCTTGATTTATAATATTATTTTACCTAATAACACAGCTTCATTGCACAGAATGAAGATAGGAGTTAGACCAAGATACAGTAGAACCTCTACAGAATTTTTTCAACTTCTGTTTCAATGAAAATTTCTCTTTAATGACAATATATGTTTTTGTTAATGATTTTTTTAAACTAGAATTAATTTTAAATGAGCCCCAAATTTTTTCTGCTCTCTCTCTATATATATATCCATTTTCTTGATATCAATTATGTAGGTAATATACCCCCTTTATTCTTTACATAGCCATTTTGATGCGGCATTACCTCTTTGGAACCTGCCCCAGGAGTTATTGAATTTACTTTCACATGTAGCTATTATCATCTATACTTCTTTTCACTTAAAATTGTGCCACATTCTTTTTTTTGAATTTTTTTATTCTCCTAATAAAATGTTCAACTTAGTAATTAATATCATATTTGACAGACTATAAATGCCCTTCCAGTTTTCTCCAACATCACAGGTTATATTATTGGTTACTATTATTTTCTTAGCTTTTTTCTCATGTGAATAATCTAGAAAGTCTTTTCAGACCTGTTCATTCTTTTCTAGGGGATAAAGTCATATAATAACACCAAGCTACCTGGTGCTTTTCAAGGGCTATGTGAAAATTGCCATAGATGCATTAAGATTATATTTAAACTTTCAAAGTCATTTTGATACATAGAGTTCTGGTTTTGTTTTTTACATATAATTGTATTTATGAAATGTGTTGGGCATTTCCATTGTGACTTTAGAGCAGCATCTATTCTACATTTCTATTTCATGTCTAGGAGGTAGGCAAGGCTGAGACTGCCATTACGAGATGTGGAAGCCCTTGGCTGTGTGTGCCATTAACATATTAAACTCAAAGAGTAATGGGCATCACTTGAGAAATGCCACCAGTATTTTTTATATGACAGATTTCTTTGGTGATTACATTTTTACCATGCAGGCACAAAAATTGACTTACATTTTATTAATTGGTGTTGTCAGTGAAGTATCCCATATTGCAAGTTTAGTTTCAAAGGGAGCATCATGGTGCTATATAAAGGATATGCCATGTTGCACCCTAAAGAGCTGGATTTTAGCAATAAAAGATTTTCTGTTCCTATTATTACTAATAGTTAAGTTACTTTATCCTAATCAAAACTATATTCTAAATAGTAAGTAATACATAGTTCAAGTGTTTAATGTTCTGTCAAAAATTATATTTAACATATGAATGCACAATGTGTGCTTTGAAAAAAAAATTAAAAAGGAGACATTACCTAATAAGATTCTGGGGTATAAGCAATGTGGAAAGAAGAAAAACTAATAAAAAGTATGGCAGTTTGGAATTGGACATCTGACTCCAGATAACTGGGATATTGATAGCTGTTATAGTTAAAAGCATACTTTCCCCCTGTAAATATTTACTGTTAAAGAAATTTTCATCTTCTCGTTTTATTCATTTATTCTACAAACACTGGGTGCCTAATTTATGTCAGACACAGTTGTAGATGCTAGGCAGACAGTAGTGAACTAGTCCTTCCCTAACCTAAAGTAGATTCTGTTCCAGCTTTTCTAGAAACTAGTCGAATTAAAGTTGAGCTACATACAAACTTAGCATCTCTGGGAAAAAGAAAATATTTGACAAAGGTGAATTGGGGCCATTTTTAATGCTCGTCTCTTCCTGTAACGTCTCTGTTTAGGGAAGGTGGGAACCCTGGAAAAAGTTACATAAAATGTATTTATTGTTAAATGGGTTTAGTCTCGTAAGAAAAGCAACCTTTCACTTGGCAGTCCTAACGTTGTCCTTGAACTAGGTTAGTCTATTTTAAGCATGGCAGGCTACTTTTGGTCTTGAGTTATTTTAGCTTAAATTAACTCAAGCTAATTTAAGTTTACAGCTGCACATAAAGTATTATGTAATGAATTGCTTTAGGGCCTTATCATTCAGACACCAGTTAACTTTTCCAGACCAGTAGAGGATTGTTTGTTCTTAGTTAAGTGAAAACACTAGTGACCTACAGGTGTCTTTGATGTCTTTTGAATACATCATTCACTACATTCAAGCTAATTATGCTGAAGTCTTTAGAATAGGATTTATAGCTGAAATGAAATGATCAATAATAGGAACATACTACTGTTTCATTCCAAAGCCTTTGGTAAGTGGGATTTGGGTTTGTTTTTGTAAACTGAACTTTTCAGTAAAACTGAATGTGCATAACTCTTAATAACATACTTCTTATTGAATTGTTAAGACTTTAAAAAGCATCCCATGCTTTACTACATATAGAAACTGTTTTAATGCTAATGAATGTTTGAATTTTGGCTAATATTTTTATATGATGACTAGAGCATTATTTTTCCCAAGTTTTTATATAATATAAATAGAAAGTTTGGGCATTCAATACTAGTATGAAGAACCTCTCTTTAGCATTTAATTGAATCAATCAGTGATTGCATTTGGGTCCTAAGTTTTAGAGTAAATTTTTTTCTCAATTAAAACATAGGTCCTGGTGAGCCAAACTTTTCTCTTATTGTTACTTTAGATCATGGAGTGCATCGGATCCTTTCTATACCAACGACAGGAGCATCTTGACTCTCTCCACAATGGACTCATCTACTTGTTAAAGGGGCTGTAGTACTTTGTGGGAGCCATTTCACCTCCTTTCCTAAAATTCAGTGTGATCACCCTGTTAATGGCCACACTAGCTCTGAAATTAATTTCCGAAATCTTTGTAACAGTTCACACCCACTCCGAGTTACGATGGCAGACAAACAGAAAGCATTAATACAAGCCCCTCCTAACACCCTTAATTTGAATCTGAACATGTTAAAATTGGAGAATAAAGAGACATTTTTCATCTCTTTGTCTGGTTTGTCCCTTGTGCCTATGGGACTCCTAATGGCATTTCAGTCTGTTGCTGAGGCCATTATATTTTAATATAAATGTAGAAAAAAGAGATAAATCTTAGTAACGTGTATTTTTTAGTATTAACTTGATTATTGACTCTTCTATTTAAATCTGCTTCTGTAAATTATGCTGAAAGTTTGCCTTGAGAACTCTATTTTTTTATTAGAGTTATATTGAAACTTTTCATGGGAAAAGTTAATGTGAATACTGAGGAATTTTGGTCCCTCAGTGACCTGTGTTGTTAATTCATTAGTGCATTCTGAGTTCACAGAGCAAATTAGGAGAATCATTTCCAACCATTATTTACTGCAGTATGGATACCAGTTCCTCTAACTGTACTGTAACACAGCCTGTAAAGTTAGCCATATAAATGCAAGGGTGTATCAAATATACAAATCAGGAATCAGGTCTGTTCACCGAACTTCAAATTGATGTTTACTAATATTTTTGTGACAGAGTATGAAGACCCTATAGTGGGTAAATTAGATACCGTTAACATATTATTAATTTAATGTCTTTATCATTGGATCTTTTGCATGCTGTAATCTGGTTAACACATTTAAATTTGCTTTTTTTCCTCTTTACCCGAAGGCTCTGTGTATAGTATTTCATGGCATTGTTGTAAAGTTTAACTATATCAATAAAAAGTTTGGACAGTATTTAAATATTGCAAATATGTTTAATTATACAAATCAGAATAGTATGGGTAATTAAATCAATAAAAAGAGAAGAGCCTCTTTCTGCGACCAACTTACAATTGCTCTTCCCCTTGTAAGCTAGATTTTAGAATAAAGGGTTTCAGTTAATAATCTTATTTTTTATGTTATCTAAGTTATAGCACACTACCACAATACAGTGGGTTCTGCCAGTGTCCCAGTGCAAGGCATATTTTCAGGTGTGGCTATGGAATGTAAATTGTTAAAGTTTAAAATGCTAAACTTGTATCAGGTAACATTAGCAATAAATTACAATGCTAAGAATGATTAATCGGATAGATGTTACTGTAATTAACTCATTGCACTTCAAAACCTAACTTCCATCCTGAATTTATCAAGTAGTTCTGTATTGTCATTTGTTTTTGTTTTGTTGAAATGTTGTCTTAAGATTTAGAAGTGATTATTAGCTTAAGAATTATTTATTACCCAGCTCTAAGCAAATAATGATTGTATACATATTAAGAAAATGGTTAAATGCGGTTTTACCAAGTTTTCCCTTGAAAATGTCATTCTTTTATGGAGATTTATTGTGCAACCCTAAGCTTCCTTGCCATTTCATGAATATAAGGCTTCTAGAATTGGGCTGGCAGGGAAAAGAATGGTTGAGACAAAAATTAAGACTTTATCTTTGTTTGCTTGTAAACTATTTTCTTGCTAATGTAACATTTGTCTGTTCCAGTGATGTAAGGATATTAAGTAAGTTATTAAGCTAAATATTAATTTTCAAAAACAGTCCTTCTTTAACTTAAGATATTCCATAGTTGGATTTAGGAAGATCTGTTATTCTGGAAATACTTTAAAAGAATAATACACTGTACAGTGCCTGCATTCACTAATTCATGTTCCAGAAAAGGAATACTGCAGATATACTCAGTAGAGTACTTTAGTGGAGGATATGGAAATTTGCTTATAAAGTCTCTTATAAAACGTACATATAACAAAATGACATTCAATAGGCCTGCATTACATTTACATGACAGTGTTTATTTGCCATCAAATAAACTGAGTACTGACACTAGACAAAGACTCCAAAGTCATAAAGTAGCCTGTGACCAACTGCAGCAAGACAGGTGGTCAGCTCGCCTAGAATGGTGCTTAAAGTGTGATTGATGTAATTTTCTGTACTCACCATTTGAAGTTAGTTAAGGAGAACTTTATTTTTTTTAAAAAAAAAAGTAAATGGCATCCACTAGTGTGCTTATCCTGAACTGTTACCCCAAATCCACTCCGTTTTTAAAGCAAACTTATCTTGATTTTAAGAAGAGTTTTCTATTTGAGAAAGTAACAATGCAGTCTACAAGCTTTCAGTAGTTTTCTAGTGCTATATTCATCTTGTAAAACTCTTACTACGTAACCAGTAATCACAAGGAAAGTGTCCCCTTTGCGTATTTCTTTAAAATTCTTTGGAAAGTATGATGTTGATAATTAACCCTTATCTGCCAAAAGCAGAGCAAAATGCTGAATATGTTATTGCTAGTTAATCAGTGGTCTCAAATAGATTTGCCTCCTTTTGCCTTCCTTTGCCTCGTCTGAGGGCTGTAAGCCTGAAGATAGTGGCAAGCACCAAGTCAGTTTCCAAAATTGCCCCTCAGCTAAGGCTTTAAGTGACTCAGCACCCTGCCTCAGCTTTAGCAGGCATAGGCTCACCCTGGGCGGAGCAAAGTATGGGCCAGGGAGAACTACAGCTACAAAGACCTGCTGTTGAGTTGAGAAAAGGGGAGAATCTATGGTCTGAATTTTCTAACCGTCCTCTTTCTTGGATCTAAAGCTCATGATACACAAAGGCTTCCAGAGCTGAGCCCCGCCCAGGCAGTGTCCTGAACAGGAGACTACACAGAGGCAAATCAGCCTTAGGGAACACTTGCATTCTGCCCTACGGTTAGTGCCAGGACTGAGGCCGTTTCTACTGCAGAAGATTGTGAGATTGAACTTACCTGAGAGCTGGAGACTCCTGAGAAGCAGGAGTCAAGGCCACTAGAAAATTGACAGTTAAGAGCCAAAAGTTTTTAAAATATGCTACTCTGAAAATCGCTGTAGGAAAAGGGAGAATCTTCCATGTTGGTGTTTTTCCTGTAAAGATCGGTTTGGGGTATGATATTGGGCAGGTATTAATAAAAATAGCACACCAAAGAGTTCTGTAAAACATGTTTTATTGATTTTGGTCCCCACTTACATTCTATTTCTAGGAGTTACCTATTTTCATATAAGTAAAACATTATTAAAGTGCTGTTTTATGTGAAATAACTTGAATGTTGTTCCTATAAAAAATAGATCATAACTAATACATTTGTAATAATGATAATGTTAGATTTTTATGAGGAATGAGTATCTGGAAATACTGTAGCAATACTTTTAGTTTAAAATTTTGGACCTGAGACACTGTGGCTGTCTAATGTAATCCTTTAAAATTTCTCTGCATTGTCAGTAAATATAGTATATTATTGTACAGCTCTTAGTAATTTTTTAAAGTTTATGAAGTTATATTTATCAAATAAAAATTTTCCTATATAATTAAAAGTGTTCCTTTATTTAAGCATTTTAAGCCTCTCTCTGTTTATCACAACCTTCACTGCCAAACTTGTTTGAAGTTAAATTTTACTGTATTTACCCTTCATTATAGGACAGGGATATCATTTATGCCTTTCACTGACTGCAGTTTTTTAAAATGTAGTTCTTACCCAGCTTTTATAGATCATCAGTACAACTCCTGGAAAAGACTCTGATAAGAATGCGCCAGCTGTAAAGACCAGCATACCTCAACTAGACTAGAAATTGCATCATTCCTGAAAAGCCAGCCAAGAGCACTTGGGAATTTGGAAATGCCCTGGTTCATAGAAAATATGTGCTTTTTAAAAAAATATAACTGATGATAGAATGTATACTTCCCTATAAAATATTCCCGTTTCCTGACACCCAGTTATTTTCACTGCTTCCTCGGTTGCCAGTTAGAACAGACATAATTGTCTAATCTACATCTGCGTAAAAAATTAAGCTGTTGTTGTCTTTGCCCAGCTGTTGTTAGTATTTGCAAAGGATGACAATGCATGATTTATATAATGTAATGTATTTTTGAGATGATGTAATAAGAATATGATCCTAGACAAATCAGTTTAGGCATCTGTTTTTATATTTAAAAGGAGTGGACTATTTTTAGGACGACTACTGTCTTTAACTTCTAATATACAAGTAGAACATGATGAATAATGAACAAGAAATTTAGGACAAAAAAATTGGAAGCATTTCACTGGAAAATTAGTGAATTCAAAAATTCAAGTTTTATATTGAGCTAACTGACTCAAAGAAAAGGCTATTGTAAATGGAGATAAGTCACCACACCTCTCTATGAACAGCCCGAGAACCCTGTGATAAATCAGATTTTTAAATACTAATTTAAGGTAAAATGGTTTGTATTCAGATATAATTTGTACACAGTAAAATGTATAGATTTTAGGATTATAGTTACTCACTTTTGATAAATCTCTACACCCATGTAACCCTTACCCCAAACCAGGTTAAAAATCCTTCAGTCATTCCTCAAGGTTCCCTTGTGCCTTTTGCAGTGAATTTATTCCCCTCTTGGTCCTGTCCCAGCAACCATTTTCTGATTCCTGTTGTCATAGATTAATTTTGCCTAATCTTGAATTTTATGTAAATGACAGTACACAGTGTGTCACTTTTGTGTCCAGCGTTGTTGCTCAGCGTGTCTGAGAGACTCATCTATGTTGTGCCAGGACCCATGGTTTTCTTTCTGCTACTCAGTAGTGTTTCATTGCATGAATGTACCACAATTGGTCCTTTCTCCTCTTTATGGACATGTGTTTTTTTACAGTTTGGGGCTATTGTTTAATAAAGTTATTATGAACATTCTTTGTGGACTTATGTTTTCACTTCTTTTGTGAAATAACTAGGAGTAGAATTGCAGGGTCACAGGGTAGGTTTATAAGAAACTATCAAAAAGTTTTCCACAGTGGCTATATGTACTATTTTACACTCCCACCAGCAACTATGAGAGTTCCAGTTGCCAACATTTGGTGGTGTCTTTTTAATTTTAGCCATTCTAATAAAGTATCTCACTGTGGTTATTTGCATGATGATGTTTAATCCTCTTCATATGCTCACTGGTGATTTATGATTTTTTCAAAATGTCTGTTCAAGTCTGGCCATTTTTTCATTAGGCTACTTTTCTTGTTACTGAATGGTAGGAATCTTTAAGGTAAGGATATAAGTCCTTTGTCTTATGTATGTATTGCTAGCATTTTCCCCCAGTTTGTGGCTTGCCTATTTATTTTCTTACTTGTCACTCTGGGGAGCAGAAGCGTTTTATTTTGATGAAGTCCAATTTTTTTTTCCTTTTATAGTTAGGTGCTTTTCATGACTTCAAACTCTGTCAGCCCCAAAGTCATGAAGAAATTTTCCCGTGTTTTCTTCTGAAAGCATTAGTCTTAACTTCTTTTATGTTTAGGTCAAAGATATCTCAAATTCATTTGAGTGTGATGCAAGGTGGCAAGGAATGAGGATCGTCCTTCCCCGCAACTCCCCCCACCCCTGACAAGGTTATCTGGTTTAACCCCATTTCTTTAAAATATTCTCCTCCTCCATTGAATTGGTATGGTGCCTCTGTTTAAAATGAATTGACTTTTCTAAAAAAAAAAAAAAAAAAATATTTTATATATATATATATATACATACCACTGCACTCAGCCTGGGCGACAGAGTGAGGTTCCATCTCAAAAAAAAAAAAAAAAAAAAAAAACACCTGATGTGGTTTTCATTTGTATTTTTCTGAATCTATGTATCAATTTGGAAAGAACAGACATCTTGAGTCCTCCAATCCATGAACATGGTATATCCATTTATTTAGGTCTTCTTTAATTTCTCTCAGCGATGTCTGGTAGTCTTTAGTGTAGATATCTGGCAAATACTCTTGTTAAAGTCCTAATTTTTTATGATTTTTTATGCTATGTTAAGGGGACTCATTTTCAAATTTATTTTCCTGTTAGCCTTACTAGAACACAGAAATAAAATATGAAATAAGGGGCAGGGCGCGGTGGCTCACACCTGTTAATCCCAGTGCTTTGGGAGGGTGAGGTGGGCAGATCACAAGGTCAACAGATCAAGACCAGCCTGGCCAACATGGTGAAACCCCGTCTCTACTAAAAACACAAAATTAGCTGGGCATGTTGATGCACGCCTGTAATCCCAGCTACTCGGGAGGCTGAGGCAGGAGAATCACTTGAACCCAGGAGGCAAAGATTGCAGTGAGCCAAGATCACACTACTGCACTCCAACCTGGGTGACAGAGCGAGACTCTGTCTCACAAAAAAAAAATTAAAAAAAATAAGGATATGATCCTGGACAAATTAATTTTAACTTTGTTAACCTACAACCTTGCCATATTCACTTCATATTCACATTCAAAGGATTCTTTTGTATAGAATCCTTTGGATTTTCCCATATACAGTCACGTCATCTGAGAACTAAAAGGTTAATTTTTTTCTTTCCAATCTTTATGCCTGTAATTACTTGTTGCTGCCCTGCACACTAGCTAGTACAGTCTGCTATAACACTGGTACAGTGTTATATAGGCATGGTTAAAACCATGAATAGGTGCTGAATTTTGAAAAATGCTTTTTTTCCATTTACTGAGATGATGTGTTTTAATTTTTTTAGTTTGATAATACAGTGAATTACCTTGGCTGATTATGGTTTTTTGTTTAAGAGACAGAGTCACCCCCTGTTGCCTAGGCTGGAGTGCAGTGGCACACTTGTGGCTCCACTGCAGCCTGGAACTCTTGGCCTCAAGCAGTCCTCCCACTTCAGCCTCCCAAGTAGCTAGGATTACAGGAACACACCACCACACCCAGCCAATTTTTAAATTTTTTGTAGAGACAAGAGTATCACTATGTTGCCCAGGCTGATCTACAACTTCTGAGCCTAAGGAATCCTCCCACCTCAGCCTCCCGGAGTGCTGGGATTACAGGCATGAGCCACCACACCCAGTCTTCCTTGGTTGATTTTCGAATGTTAAACCAACTTTGCATCCCTAAAATAAATCCCACTTGGTTGTGATGTTTCTTACTACACTATGACCACCACCACCACGCCCCCCCTCCCCCATTTATATCTACTTCCTCAGAAAATAGTTAGACCTACCTTTAAAATATATCCAGAGTTCAAATACATTAATATTTAGAGTTTTTGTCAACCTGGTTATCACCCTGGTCTAAGTCACCATCATCTCAGGATAATTGCATTAACTCTTTAACTGACGTATTAGTTCTGTATTGCTGCATAAAAAAATTCCCCAAAATTTCACATCATAAAACAATAGACTTTATTCCGGTTTCTGTGGATCCAGGATATGGGTGCAGATTATCTGGGTAGCAAAGCCTCAAGGTCTTTCACAAGGCAGCAGTCAAACTGTCAGAGCCGCAGTATCACCTATCACCTGAAGGCTCAACTGAGATTAAACCTGCAGCCAAGCTCATTAATGTGATTGTTTGTATGATTTAGTTCTTTATGGGTTGCTGTACTAAGGACTTTCAGTTTCTTACTGGCTGTTGGCCAGTGACTGCTCTCAGTTCGTTCCCTCACGGACCTCTCAAAAAGGCAGCTTACAAAATGGCAGCTGGCTTCCAACCAAGTGAGCAAGAGAGGGCATGCAAGATGGAAGCTATTTATAACCTAATCTCAGAAGTGATGTCTCATCACTTTGCCATATTCTACTCATTAGAAGCAAGTCACTAAGTCCAGACCATACTCAAGGGGAAGAGATTATACAAGAGTGTGAATCCCAGAAGGCAGGGACCACTGGGGGCATTTTAGAGGCTGCCTACCACAACTGACCGACTTTCATCTTACCTCCACTCTACCCCCAACACAACAGGATTTTTGTCAACACATCAGCTAAAGTAATTTTATTAAAACTAGTCAGGACTTGTTACCCCTCCAATGACTTCCCACCTCACTGTAAAAGCCACAGCACTAATAATAGCCTACAAGGCCATATACAATTTGCTACCTGTTATCTCTGACCTCATTATCTTGTTCTCCTTACCCCCTCCCCCGCCGCGGCCTGACAGCCTCCTTGATATTCCTTAAACACGCCAGGCTTGTTGCCAACTCAGAGCCCTTAAAGTTTCTATTTTCTCTGCCTACAAAGCCTTCCCAGATATATGCATGGCCTACTACCTCATTTTTTTAGGTACTTATTCAGATGTCTCGGTGAGGCCCTACCTGATCACCTGGGCACATGATCACCTCAACTGATGCAGAAAAAAAATTTGACACGATTCAACACCCTTTCATGATTAAAACACTCAACAAGCTAAGAATAGACGGAAAGTACATCAAGATAACAAAGGTGCTATATGACAAACCCATCACATCATACACATTGGTCAAAGACAGAAAGCTTTTCCTCTAAGATCAGAAACAAGACAAGGATACCAGTTTTCACCACTTCTATTCAACATAGTACTGAAGTCCTAATCAGAGGAATTAGGCAAGAAAACCAATTCAAATTGGAAAGGAAGAAATAAAATTATCTCTACTCGCAGATGACATGATCTTATGTTAGAAAACCCTAAATAGTCCACACACACACACAGTTTGAACTGTTAAGTTCAACAAAGTTACAAGATACAAAATCCACACACCAAAATTGTTTGCATTTGTATACATTAACAATGAACAATCCAAAAAGAAAATTAAGAAAGCAATTTACAATAGCCTCAATAAACAACAACAAAAACCCTAGGAATAAACCTAACCAACGAAAAGACATTGCTAAAAGGAATTTAAGAAAACAAATGTATGGAAAGATATTCTGTGTTCAAGACTGGAAGATTTCGTATTGTTAAGATGTCAATACTATCCAAAGTAATCTATAGACTCAATGCAATCTCTATGAAAATGCCAATAGCATTTATTGTAAGAATAGAAAAATCCATCCTAAAATTCATATGGAGTATCAAGGGATCCTATATAGCCAAAATAACTAAAAAAAAAAAAAAAGAACAGGTTGGGCACAGTGGCTCACACCTGTAATCCCAGCACTTTGGGAGGCCGAGGTTGATGGATCACTTGAGGTCAGGAGTACTAGACCAGCCTGGAACATGGTGAAACTCTGTCTCTACTAAAAATACAAAAAAAATTAGCCAGGTGTGGTGGCACACACCTGTAATCCCAGCGACTCAGGAGGCTGAGGCAGGAGAATCACTTGAACCCAGAAGGCAGAGGTTGCAGTGAGCTGAGATCGCACCACTGCACTCTGGCCTGGGCAACAGAGTGAGACTCTGTCTCAAAAAAACAAAACGTGGAAGACTCACAATTTCTGACTTCAAAACATACTACAACAAAGTTATATTAATCAAAACAGTGTGGTAGTGACATGAAGACAAACATATAGACCGATGGACTAAAAAAAGACCAGAAATAAGCTCTCATGTATCTGTTCAAATGGTCTTTGACAAGGGTGCCAAAACCACTGAGTAGGGAAAGGACAGGTTTTTCAACAAATCAGTGTCAGGAAAAATGAAAATCTAGAAGAAAAGATAAAGTTAGTTCCTTACTTTATACCATATACAAAAATTAACTCAAAATGGATCAAAGACCTAAAAATAAGACTAAAAACTATAAAACTCCTATAAGAAAACATAAGAGATGAGGCAGGCAGATCATCTGAGGCCAGGAGTTCGAGACCAGCCTGTCAATGTGATGAAACCCTGTCTCTACTAAAAATACAAAAATTAGCTGGGAGTGGTGGCATACACCTGTAGCCTATAATCCCAGCTGCTCGGGAGGCTGAGGCAGGAGAATCGCCTGAACCTGGAAGGTGGAGGTTGCAGTGAGCTGAGATCACACCA